CCCCCTCCTCCCCCCGGACCTCCTCCAGTCTTCACTGATGATGACTCCCAGCCTCAGGCAGGCGGTGCGTCGGCCCCGCACTCAGCGCTGTTTGCCCAGCTCAACCAGGGCATGGACATCACTAAAGGTGGGTTAACCTCAAGGGCCTGAGAGCACACAAATGGTGGTAATGGTATAAATAAAAAGTAACTACAAACTTATAGTGAAATATAGACAACAATATAGAAAATTATAAAGAAGAAAAAAATGTTTTAATCACATGATTAGGAGGTTAAATTCTAGGTTCATACAGGTTAGGTTTAAAGTTCATTTGGAAATTTCTTTCTCTTCCTTACTGTTTTCGAGCAAAAACCCCCCAAATAAATAAAATAAAAATGTTTAAGTGTTCTCCAAAGGAATTATACCATAATGTAGTGAAATATAGTTTACAGAAAATGTAACTGGACAGTTGTGTTTCCTTTAAATAAAATAACTGTAGAATTTTGTTGTTGGCTGGTTTAACATTTGTCAGGTTGGTGGGACAGTGCTGAGGAGGGAGTTAAGATTCATGACCTCCTCCTATTTTCCATCTGTAGGTCTGAAGCACGTCTCCGAAGACAAGAAGACCCATAAGAACCCCAATCTGCGTTCGCAAGGAACACCGACCAAAACAAAGTCCCCAGGTACCGCAAAGTCGCCCAAAGCAGCCGTCCAGAAAAGACCCCCTCTGCTGGAGCTGGAGGGGAAAAAATGGAGGGTGGTACGTGAAATGTTAATTTCTCTTTGAGGGATTATTCCCAAAGAAAGACACTGTATTTTTTACCACTGAGGTCAGCCAATATCACAGATTATTGATTGGATCTGTTGCAGGAGAACTTTGAGCAGAAACACGACCTGGTGATCGAGGAGACGGAGCTGAAACAAGTGGCCTACGTCTTCAACTGCAACAACTCCACCTTGCAGATTAAGGGCAAAATTAACTCAATCATCATAGGTGAGCTGAAAACAGGCTGGGAATATTGCTTTTGTGAGTAAGTTAATAAATTCTGATTATGATGTTCTTTAATCTCCACGTGCATTGACTCCCTCCAGACAACTGTAAGAAGCTGGGTTTGGTTTTTGAGAACGTCGTTGGGATTGTGGAGATCATCAACTCAAAGGCAATTCAATTACAGGTGAGTTTACTATTATAAACACTATTATATTCCCATCTAGCAGCCAGGTATTACATATTTCTGTTACGGGCGGTGCATCAGCGGTTAATGTTTGGTTTCTACGCAAACTGTCCACACAGCCGCTTGGCAGCGGCAGTGGGAAGTAAAAAGTCAAATAGATCTCTATTACTGGTATCTGTACAAGCTTTCTTAAATACTAGAGTACTTACTTTCTTAGTCTTTCTCTTACGATTGTACTTTGTATTACATTTTCACAAACAGGCTCCGGGCGCTTATTATGTTACTTTTTACTTTAGTTTGGAACTGCGTTTTGAAGGAACTGACTGGTACTTGATCTATCTGCCCAGCCCGCGGAACACTTACACATCAAAGCTGGTGCATATCACACATGACAGATGTAACATGACAAAAATTATGTAAAACGTGTTGACGAAACAAGACGGAAAAAAAACCAACAAGAGATACTTTTTCCTATTTGAAGTTTATCTTGGCAAAGAAATGTCCGTCAGAGAAACCAAGAGAGTACTTTTATACTTTGAGTACATTTCAGAGCTTGTACTTTGTACTGTGTGTGTACTTCTGCCTGCCAGTAACTGTAAGATGTCTTTCTGTAGGTGTTGGGAACAGTTCCCACCATTTCCATCAACAAGACCGAGGGCTGCCAGGTCTACCTGAGTAAGGACTCCCTAAACTGTGACATCGTCAGTGCCAAGAGCTCTGAGATGAACATCATGGTACCACAAGATGACGACTATGTGAGTGTCTAAGGGACAAAGAGACAGACTGTGTTGGCCTCTCTCTGATGTGTTAATCCAATGTTTTCCTGAATCTTTCACATGTGCAGCTCTTGTTTAACAGTTTTCTTCTCGGTTGTTCTACAGAGGGAGTTTCCAGTACCGGAGCAGTTCAAGACAGTTTGGGACGGCTCCAAACTGGTGACAGAACCCACTGAGATCGCAGGCTGATTGATGCTTCATCGTCATCACCACCAGAACACCAATCATCATCACTGATTTTAAAACAAGATAATCTTTCCGTCCCCTAATTTTATTGGGTTTAAGAGACATAAAAGGGATTTTATACGCAGCCACTGCAACAGATTAACTTTTGGTCCTCTCCTTGTTGCTGTATTTGTGACTTTATGATGTCTCTCTAGCACTTTGAAACTGTTGATTATAAATAACCAGAAGGTAGGTTGATTGTTGCTCTCTAAAAGTAAATTGATATCTCTGGTTTAAATCCTACAATCCCAATATATTTACCCTTTCTTACATTTCTGTGCCATAAGCAACAAAGGCATTATGTAAGAATAAGTAACTATCTTCAAAATCCCATTATCTTCTCATCTAACTTTTTCTGGATTACCATTACTAAGACTGTACTTCATCTACATTCATTTTTGTGTTTCATTGTATTAACGTTGAGGCACAATTAGACCACCGCAGTCACACATTATTTTACAGAAAAAGCTAAAGATTACACAACACACACATACGACATTCAGTGGCCAAGCAGACAGGGATAACTTGGAGTTAGTGTAGGACTATTTAGTATATTGTCTATCTAATTAAGTGTATTTAGCTGCCTCTCTAACTGTGTATAGTGCATGGTAGTCATGTAGTACATATTTCACTTAGTGAGTGAAGTTTATGCAGCACGGTTCACTATATTTTGCATTACCAGGTCACAGTCTTGCTAGTGCATAGTACTGTATGTGAAGCATAATCTATCCGCATAGATGGATGTAACAATGTCAGGAGACGTTAAATCAACTTGATCGAAACAATCAACTAAATACATGGCTACTAATTTTTACTAAGTTACTGTACTGCATTTATACACCTTAAAATACTAACTGTAGTACCCATTACCTTTAGTCTCTATATTTGTACATCACTCTGTTTTGTAAGATGTAGCACTTGGCACCAGCATAAGGGAGAAGATACTGTACACCACTAATACTTTTCCAAACTTTTAATTTACATGAAAACAATTTGATGTAATTGTGTATCATTTTTCAAATAAAATCAAAACCCTCAGTTCTTGCTTGTTGGTGTTGTTGCACGAGAGAGTTGCACCTTGTACGACATTTCCGCATTAGAGACCGAAAGAGGAAGAACATTTTATTAAAACCTCCAGGAAAATACAAGATCTAAAGATGAAACAGGGAAAAACATCTAAATGCCATTAAAAAGTTGAGAGCAATTATCCACTGCCAGACTATAACAACATAAGACTCCTGCTACTGAGTTTCAAAAGCTGCTTTCAGTGTTTGATCACCAGATTTCCCTGAGAGTCTTGAGTAAAGAGCATCTCGTCTTCCTCGTCCTCCTCCACCAGAGATTTGTAAGCACTAGTTCTCACCGTTTCAGTCTTTATGTTACTCTGATCTTTGAGTGGACTCCTGGTTTGCAGACCTCTGTGCGCTATCACCCTGAAGCCCTCAGAGTCCTGGGTGAACAACATGGCCAGACTGTCCTCATCAACCGCTCTGCACGACTTCTGCGGGGTTAGTTTTTTTAGGGCAGAGCTTCTAGGTTTTTTCCACTCGAACTGTGAGTCATGGCTGTCTTCTTTATCAGCCTTTGACCACAGGTGCACTGGAATATGTTTTCGAGGTGATGCAGTTTTTGGTTCTGTCCATTTATGACTTGAAAGAGGGTCAATATGAGAGAGAGCTGAATGTTTACTTGGGGACTTAAAAGACAAAAACCTGCTGTTTTCTTTGTCATCATCCTCCTGAGAACAATGAACGTGTTTATATGATTTTTGAGTCGAGGTTCTCCATTCCACATCCATATGAACACCAAAGGCCTCCTCGTTTTGTAGACTGTTAAAGAAACTCGGCTCTGAGTCGCCAGAGTTCTTTGCTGTAGTGTTTTTCTGGTTAGTCGGGTAAAATTCACCTTCAGAATACTGGCTGCAGGTGAACAGTGGGTCCTGACTCCACGCCAGTGGAAGAGGTTGACTGTCATCTGGCACTGATGAGGTGGCAGTGATCCTCCTCTTACTCTGTGGTGGATTTATCTCTTCAAACGGCTCTTCTTCAAATTCACTGTACACATTTTGAGAAGGTGTATGGTCTGCTGCCTGTTCCTGCCACACCGCTGCTTCAGGCTCAGTAACATTTTCACTTTTCCACTCACAATCCAGACCAGGCTCAAGATCTATTTCACGTCTTCGTTTTGTTCCTGATGCTACAGGTGTTGGTGCAGTCAAGGCACATGTGGACGAGGTAGATGATGAAGAAGGCAGCGCTGGATCCATGACTGGTACTTCAGAAGTAGACATCTTATTGAGAACTTTAGACAGAAGGCATAAAAAAGCATTATGTTAGCACAAAAAGAAATGGATGCAGGTCAGTCTACGGCAGCTTTATCAGCTTCTGACTGATTTAGCTGAAGATGAT